CTGTAAACACTGTTTTGGCATATTTTACGGGGTTAAAAACTAAAACATCACACCAACATATTGGGATATGTACAGATTTTATACAGATAGAATCTTAACTAATTCTAATGATTGTTGTAAATAAATAGGAGTTAGGGCCTACTATGTAAATCTTTTCTTTTGGGGGGGGGGGGGTCCAAGTATATTCAGCCCCCCCCCCCCGACCTCCCCCATGTGTGACGCCCATGTATGTAGGATACGTAAACAAGCGTAACGATAAGTATAAATATTGCATCCCGCTGAAACATCATGTAATAATGGTGTGCGGTCGTCATCAGTGTCGAGGGAAGCAGGCATTAAGATGGTGTGGGGTCGTCATCAGTGTCGAGGGAAGCAGGCAGTAAGATGGTGTGGGGTAGTCATCAGTGTCGAGGGAAGCAGGCAGTGGGTATTTTACTGTGGTTTAAGATCGAGTTGATGAATTTCATTATAAACTGTTTTTGCCTTAGTTAAACAAGTCGAACTTATTAATTTGAAATATGCAAAAACATATAATATTTAATAACGTTTTTATCCTCATAACGCTATTTACGTCAGTTAACATTAACTAATATTTTCATACAATATCTGTTACCATCTACTCGGTTTTAAAAGAGATCCCAGCCACAATACTCTCTACTTGCTGTTGACTCCCGGTTGACGATTCATCAAGATGTGTACTTTGTGGTTGATTTCCGTTGCTGTTGTGGTTGCTTCCATGTTGCCAGGCTCTACTACAGGCAAGTATTACTATTTTATAGCTAAATAGTTTGAGTGCCGTTTATTCCTTTTAGATCATATTTATAATTGCCATATTTATTTGGATATAAGAGATTAAAATGTTTTTATTGTATTTTGTAACCATGCACGGTTAACATTTGGAATGTATACCGTAAGTCTGAAACTCTGCTGAAAAGTTTCTCCGTAGAATTCTGTCTTACGTTCTTCTGGGTGTATGTAACCCAGCCGAGTGTTAAAGCTTGTGTTATAATTTACATTGTTTGACCGATGGTAAGATACCTTTGTCGTCTATCACGACTAACTATAATCTTGTAATGAATGTGAATTAATCTACCAATTAACTAGGAATACTGTCGTCCCAATAGGGTTTTCATATCATAAAGTTTCCGTTATTTTCACGTCCTATTTCTAACCCTAACCATGCTTCGAGATTGACACCCTTTATCTTTATTTTCTTGTTATTTGGTTCAGAATATTTACGTAATGTGGATTTCTTTATGTAATTTGATGAAAGGGTTTACTGTGCCGCAGTTATCTCCGTTGTTTCTTGATAATATATAAACCATGTTTTGTATTTTTCAGAATTTAAATGTGGAGCATCAATTTGTAAGTGATTGATCAACAACTGATATATAAAGTTCAATAAACTATATTGTAATATTTAAAAACTATTATAAGATTTAATATAATAAACTTTATTGTAATATTTAACCACTTCTTTTAAATAATTAAATGTTATTTTGTTCTTTCTTTATAAATTATAATTCTAAACCAACAATATATTCATCTAAACCAACAACTACAATATATTCATCTGTACTTCTTCATAAAAAACAGATAAACCAAGATATTAAAATGTAACCCAGGTTGAAAAAACAAAAGTTTATTGTCTGTTTGTTTGTGTTTTTGTTTACCTCATGTTGCTGTGTTTGTCAGTCAGCCATGTTAATCCTAATTCGGCGATGAGTAAACTAACCCTAGCAGTTGTCCAGACAAACAAAATTTCACCCATACCGCTTTATACCGATTCATGCTTTTTATAACCCACTTCATTTTATTTTTTTATGTTTTCAGCTTTAAAACATAGCGCAAATGGATATCAACCTGACACGATTTGTCTAAATCCATCTTAAGAAAAATGAAATGAAATGGGATTTAGCGTCCTACTGTTCTGCTAATGAAGAAGGGCATACCATGTGCTATGGGAGAAATTTTGCCCCGTCAGCGGCGCTACGGCCTTCTCTTACATCGAATTTCAACTGCCAAGCGATCTTTTATGTGCACGACAATGTCTACACGGGACCTCGACCTTTTACCTATCCGTTTTGGAAAACGGAATTAAATTGTGGAGGTATGGAGGGATTAGCCGATTGATAATTCTGTACATTTAGATGAGTTGATGACGCCTTCGCCTCTCTTGCAGAGTGATAAATCCTGTTTCCTCATATAATAACCTATGACTGGTACCCTTTACAGGGCGTCCTTCACAATTAAAATACATACAATGTAAAACATTAAAATGTCAACATGTTCATAGTTTAAAAGCACGTTTTAAGATTATTTTTAAAAACAGCAACATTAGTAGAGATTTTTTTTTACATGACTAGGTAATTCATTCCACCCGTTAGCTGGTAATTGGTATAGAAGTGAATTACAGTAATCTAGTTTGGAGAGAACAAAAGCGTTAGCTAACATTTTAGCGATATCTGACGTTATAATTTGTTTTACCGATGTTGTATAGATTAAAATTTAATGACTTGCAAATAGCAAACATATGACTTTTCATTTTAAGATCGTGATCAAAGTAAACTCCAAGATTTTTAACTGATTGAGAGGATGTTATTGTTAATTCGCTGATTTTAACGGATTGAGAAAGAGATTTTCTGTTGATCACGATGACCTCTGTCTTATCATCATTTAATTTTAGCAAATTAAGATTCATCCCATTTTTAATGTCATCTATACAAGCCTCAAGTTTATAGATTTCGGTGGAGTCACTTGATGTTTTCAAGGCAAGATATATAGTCCGGTGGCTGACGGGGGGAATCGCCACCAAAGCTGTGAATTTATGAGACCAAGTTTTTCTAGACCAGTTTTGTGCGTAGATCCCGAATCTGGATGGTGATCAGGCGTTTGCGGGGGCGTTTTGGAGATGGGGATCCAATGTCTACAATTGGGGGGGGGGGGGAATGTCATTATGTTGACATAAATGATGATTATGTTATATATTAATAAAACATAAATTTCTAGGACTGCCCATCTCTAAATAAGTGTTTATGATGTCCCTGGAGAACTGTTTTGATTTGTGGCGAGGTGGGGTGGGTGGTTGCAGGTGTGCATGTGTATGAGGGGGGGGGGGGGTGAGTTCACGTCAATTTAAATGATGATTTTCTTAGAGCTTGATGAAACATCTCTAAATATGTTTATAAGATTCCCATTGTGTGGGGTGGGCGCCGTGATGGGTGCCCGTAGGGGGAGAGGGGGGCAACGTGTGTTTTTGTGGACAGGAATAATTTGGTTCAAAGTTGACCTTAAAAGTGGTATCTCGTTAGCTTTCTCGTTCAGTATATATTTCGCCTTTCAATATATTAAATTATAATGGTACTTTTCAAGAGATCTGGAAATGTACATAAAAAACACAGTAAATCAGAGACATGTTTAGATATTAGTTTATTCTTAGTCTTCATTAGAAGATTAAAAATCAAAGTTTATAATATGAGCGGAATAGATGTCTTCTTGATGGCTAATCAACAGCCCACCACCACCACCACCAAACTCTATAGTATTTCTATAGAAAAAAGTCACTTATATTCTATAGGCCTTCTCTGTGAAAGTCTGATATTATATTTGAAAAATGAATTCAAAAGTTGAAAGTATGATTGTTCATATATGTACTATGGAAGCCTATAACTACCATTCATAATTTCTACTTTTCGCCTCTTCAAAACACGAAAGTCGAAAAGTAGAAGTTACGACAAAATGTGAGGCGACAAGACGGTATACAAGCCAAAATCAACTCGAAAATAGGAAATTAAGAAATAACACACCGCGATAATAGCGCCCCCCCCCCCCCCGTTTTTTCTTAATTTCCACTTTTCGACTTGCATTTTGGCTTGTATACCGTCTTGTCGACTTTCGACTTAGTCATATTTTTGTATTTATTGATGTCGACAAGACGGTATACAAGCCAAAATGCAAGTCGAAAAGTAGAAATTAAGAAAAAACGGGGGGCGCTATTATCGCGGTGTGTTATTTCTTAATTTCCTATTTTCGAGTTGATTTTGGCTTGTATACCGTCTTGTCGCCTCACATTTTGTCGTAACTTCTACTTTTCGACTTTCGTGTTCTGAAGAGGCGAAAAGTAGAAATTATGAATGGTAGTTATAGGCATCCATACTGTACAGCAACGGATCTCGTTTATGTAGACTTATGCAGGGTAAACAGGTGACGGCGTAGGAATATTTAGTGAGCTGTATCCAGTTGTGTGGGTCCATTTTAGAGTTACTTCCCTTTTATGGTACAAACAAATGAAATGAAATGGGGTTTAACGTCCTACTGTTCTGCTCCTACTGGGCTGATGAAGACGAGCATACACCACCCAGTGTGCTATGGCCTACTCTCATTTCGAATTTCAACTGTCAAGAACTCTTTTACGTACACACCAATGTAAACACGGGACGTCGGTTTTTGCCCATCCGAACAACTAGACAGCTGCCCTTGCCAGACCTCCCGTTATTCTCATTTTAGAAGTGTGCACGTAAAAGATCCATTGGCAGTTGGAATTCGATGAAGAGTCGGTGAAAAAGCGTCTAGTCTTTCGGATCGGGTATAAATTCAAGGTCCAACTGTGTGATCGTTGACGTGCACGCTAAAGATCCATTGAAGGTTGGAATTATTAGCCTATTAGTGCACAGAACTACGACGATATAATTGGGTGCGGGGTACGCACACGCTTTATATTATAAAATATGGTTTTGATCCGAGTAGGGTCGCATGTCCAACCTCATGGATTTCTCCCGGTTCTCCCACTACAAACAAGCCAATTGAACCATGTTAATCCCGAAATAACAGTTTATTGGGGACGTTAAACTCTCTCTCTCTCTCTCTCTCTCTCTCTCTCTCTCTCTCCCTCCCTCTCTCTCTCCTTCTATTTATCATAGTAGTTGAACTTTATATACGATAAGATATCTTGGTGTATATTTACATAGCAACACATTGTTTACATAGCAACACACTTGGCTTTATTTATACTATTTACTTTGGTGCAGTTGTAAAGGAATGTGCACGGAGGTTGCCGTTAAAAGCAACCAATCGTAGATCAGGATATCAAAACAACGACTCAAACATCCTCCAGTCATATCATCTGTGACTACAATCAGTAAACATGTTATGCAGTGGTTGAATTTAATGGCAGATTCCACGATAATGACTGAAAACCGTGTTTTGTATTTCTTGTATGTTTATAGTTGGTATCGGTAGTATTTTGTTAATGCTACCGTACATCCCATCCATTATTATACAGGCCCACCGAGCGAATTCGTGAGTACGTGCCGGAGTAAAGAAAATGTTTCCCCCACCCCCTCCCGCATCAGCTCAAGAGAGAGAGAGAGTAGGGGGGGGGGGGGGGGGTAACGTACACTCGGCACTAACATATGGTTCAATTTTATTTCAATAATTCGTTTGCGCGTAGGGGTCTTTAACAGTGGGAGGAAACCGGAGGACCCAGAGAAAACCCATGAGAGGTTGGACAGGCGAACCTATCCTTGTCACGTTCAACCGGGGAATCGAAACCGCGCCAGTTGACTCAAAGATAGACCTTGTGATAAAACGCACACGTGATAACCATTCGGCCATCCAACCCCCCAAGGTAATAGCTGAATGGCATCTTATTTGGAATTTCACCAGTTAACAGTTAATTTACGTCCACGCCAGCGTTAACACGGAACCTCGATTTACTACCTCATTCGAACAACTAGACGGTCACGCCGGAACTTTCTCGGTCAGCACCACGATCGATTCCTGGACCCCCAGATCAGCGAGTTGATGTTCTATTCACTGAGTCACCGCGGCTCCCTGCACAAGTTATGCTTATATGGCAATCTTTTAGTTTTAGGTCCTCGACGCGTTTCTAATTTAGTACAGAGATGGTCCTATATACATGTATATTCCGAATGTGATCAATCAAAACTACTGAATTTGTTGCTTGTAACATCGACAAAAAAAGTTCCTAGTAAAAAAAACAACATGTTGGAATAAAATCTAGTTTCGTTTAATTAATCGTCTAACGATTCTTCCAGTTGGCTTATTTCATTCATTACTAACGATTCTTAAAGCTAAGAGTAATTAATGGTTGGTTAACGGGAAGTAGAGCACGTGTATAGCTGCTAGCAATTCTTGGTGTTTACAAAGGAAAGTAGAGCACGTGTATATAGCCTACTAGCAATTCTTGATGTTAACAACTCAGTTTTATGACTAAGTACAAGTTGTGGGCTACTCCTAGCACGCGCCATGTCAGATAGAATTACAACCTCCTTTTACAGAGTGCTGAACTCGGACCGGGGTAAGGGGTCAGGGGTCAGATCTACCCGCCATCTTTAAATGCATTTATAAACAATAACAAACCCATGCTAACACTATCTACTGTTAAATAATCGTCCGTAATCCCCGAACAATTAGTAAAATTAATTAAGATTTATTTACACATTTCTAAGTACCTTTATATAACACTGTCGGTGTTTATCCATACATAGTGTCATTACTCATTCCTGTAGAGCTAAACTTTGGCGAAATTTGCAATACAAATCGATCCGTGTGCAAAATGTATTGCCTTAATGAAGGGTCGTGTGAAAAATCAGAAAGGTATCTAAGGGTGCTGTGGTTTAGTTTTCAATCCTAATTTTCCCGTTAGTACTATTAGGACCAAAGTTTTAGTTAAGGTAAGATTTTATTTAATATACAACGGAATAAGAAACGATTGACCGGCTTGAGTGAATTATTATCTAATATTCAGCGACACCAGCGAAACGATTGAATTTTTCTGATTTTATTTTTATTTTATTTTTTTGTATTAAGAAGTTTGTTTTTAAGATGACTATAATGATAGAGAAGTATAAAATACGCGAGAATTGTAAACATGTTTTATATAATTTCAAAATACCTTTATTTATAATGTTATTAACTTATCCCTATAGTGGGAATATAATATTAAAACTTTGTATCGGGAACAAAAAAAATAATTTTATAAACCTAGAATAAACTGTATGTAAATATTGTTGATAAATAATCAACTGGATTCAGTTGTTGATGTATTTGTATTTGAAATGACGATAACGGTTATCCAGTAGCGACGTACGTCATCCACCCCAACCATACATGCACATGTATTTGAAATGACGATAATAATGGTTATCCAGTAGCGACTTCACCCACTCCATCATACATGCGACGGACTTGTATAGTTGTATTAGAAAAACTATGTACGCACTTTTTACCAGCCAACTGTCGCTCTTTGTTATCGGTGTGAAGATACCGTTATTTATGTTGATGGTTTCTCTTACGTTTCTAGAAGATGTTTATAAGGAAACCCCGCCTATTTTCGTTTGTGTCCTTGGTAACGAGTAACTTCAAGGCTGTAACGAGTAACTACAAGGCTATCAACAATATTATTAGTTGATCGGAGCTTGTCTTTCTGCGTCGTTTTGTCTTATTTTAAAGGCTTATGATATTGAGTGAATTTAAACGAAACGGAACGAAATAATTCAGCCTGTCTCTTCTTGATATTACTCAACTGAATAATAATTCATCGCGAAGTAGGTCATTTCGGGACTATCATATGATCCCATTTTATTTCAATAATTCGCTTGCGTGTAGGCATCTTTAGCATTGGGAGGATACCGGGGAACACAGAGAAAACCCTCTAGGTCGAACAGGTGGTATTAATCTTTGCCACGTATAGGCTGGGAATATCGAAACCGTAACTCTTGACAGAATTAGTAATCTAAAGTGCACTATGCAAGGCCATTCGATCGGTTTCCAATTCCCCGTCGGTAGAGAGTCGCCACAAGTGCTTAAGATCGAGAATGTAAAACGTTGCTGTGTTTATTTAGAGATGAATGTGTTTTATCTAAAAATCTTTATTTTATTCGTTGTTATAATTATGGTTTACCTGCACTTTTAAAGTATATTCTGATTTTACACGTACCTACAGTGATTGGTTGAAAACAAACGTCTATTCATTGGCTGGATGAAACTGTATCTTAAGGTCTGTCATTGAGTCAACTGGCGTGGTTTCGATTCCCCGCTTGTACGTGACAAGGAGTAGGATCGCCTGTATAATCTCGTGGGTTTTTACCGGGTCCTCCGGTTGCCTCCTACTCCTAAAGACCCCTGGGCGCCAATAAATAAAATTGAAATGAGCCCCGAAATGACCTAGTTTGTGTCGAGTGGATGTTAAACTCTCTCTCTCTCTCTTTCTCTCTCTCTCTCTCTCTCTCTCTCTCTATTAAAGATGACGTTAGACATGTAAAAGTCACAGGCACGATAAATCAAAAGGGACGTAATTAGTGCAAACTAGTTATAGAGTGATAGGGGTCGTGTATGGGGCAGGGTATACTCCACTTGATTTCTTATTGTGTTGTACTTGTATATAGCAAGATTAGTAATTATTTTGTAATATAGGTCAATAGACTCAATGACAGCTGGCATGTACAGGGTGGGGTATGCTTCTGAAGTGCACATAGCTAGTAATCCAGTTGATAGATTCTAGAGTACACGTGCAGTGATGTGGGGGGGGGGGGGTCCACAGGGTGGGGTATGCTTTATTACTATTTCTAGATTTATTTACTTAAGAAGTGCAGATGTTAAGCTAAGTGGCGGACAGATTATATACAGTGATGTGGCAATTCCACTTCGCTACAAATCATAGCCTTATTTTACTATATGTAGTGATGATATCGTGTACGAGACAGGGTATGTGGAGAACATCTGATATCATTTCCCTCGGTAGGTTCTGTATAATAGATAGTACAGCATAACCAACCAGTGTACGAGCATCGTCTAGTGTACGAACACCATACCTACAAACCAGAATGTTACAGTGAATGGCCTTCACAACGACATCTAAATCTGGTACATGGTAAAATGTCAAGGAGTGTAACTAACTGTTTGTTTATTTCACCAGCTAAATTTTTTGTTGTCTACGTGTGACGTGTGGGCTGGATGTAAACAGATATTACGTACTTGAAGATTATTGGTTTTGTCTATATAAATAGCGAGAAGTGCATGTACTTTCTACAGCAGGCTATAAATAGATTCTACTTGTACTTTATATAACAGGCTATAAATAGATTCTACTTGTACTTTATATAGCAGGCTATAAATAGATTTCCGAGTGTTTTCTTACATCATCAAATTGAGTAGAAACCGTGACTAGTCTATATATAGATATTATATACATTCAACAAGATTAGAAGCTGGATCAACTAACATGATCAGCCCCCCCCCCCCACCCAATCTGTTCAGATGTGTAGGACGGAGAGTCCTAGAGTACAGGAAATTGTGTAAAACTGATATTTGTCAAGCGAATAGTAACATTGGAAATCTTATCAATGAAACATACATTACACATCCTCTCACGAGAATACGGTTACAGCTTGAGTTACCATGGTTACTACACACTCTTCCGTTTTAAATTTTATCTCTTCTTCTGAAACCGATAGCAAATTAAATTTGATGAACTTCATCTCCACATATTAATCCAGATTAAGGTGAACTTTGATCAATGTTAGATAATCATTCGGCTTGGATTCAATCGGGTCAACAAGAGACTTATCAAAAGATTTAAGCCTTGATTACTGGTGAAACTGACTTGTTTTGAATAAAGTCGTGACAAATATTCAGTTCATCGTATATTTTTAAATCATGAACGGAATTAAACAATTTCTGGAACGATATTCCTTTAGGATATTCAAATTCCACAGTATTGTAGTTTGGAACGATTCAACTTTTACAATATTATAGTTTGCAAGAGATTATAAACACATTCCTCAAATGACGACCAGATCTGTAAGTGAAACTACATATCATATATTCATCAATTAGTGCTGTGTTTCTATATAATATGATTTACCTGCCAAGAACAATGTTTTATTTTATAACAACTTGGCCAAGAACAATGTTTTATTTTATAACAACTTGGCCAAGAACAATGTTTTATTAAACAACCTGGCTGGTGACTCAGCTGGTGGCCATTTGCCCAAAGGCTACACTCACTCTATAGATATCGACGAGTTACGTGCACTAGATGGGTATGCTTATTCGTTTGTAATGAAATTTGACAAATTAATCCGATCGGTTGTAACATGACCATTATTGATAGGATATAAGATGTTATGGATTCATTACATCATCTTTCATCACACCTGACAGGTAATGACGACCGAATATAAGATGTTATGTTCATCACACCTGACAGGTAATGACGGACCAATGGTAGACAGATACTAAAGACAAGAGTTAAAATTTAAAAACATTTGGAGAGCCAAGGTGGCTCAGCAAGTTACGCTCTGGCATATTAACAAGGAGTTTCCGGGACTCGGACCCGTGTTGGCCAGGAATGTGCTTCGGACAAAACAACCAGTCGTTTGGATGGGACGAAAAACCGATATCCCATGCATTTAAAGGATCCTTTGGCAGTTGGAATCAGTTGCTGTCTGGGCAAAATGCACCCCATGTCACACTGTATGGCGTGTCTTCATTAACCCAGTTGGACGTTAAAACCCATTTTATTCATTCATTCATTCATTTAAAAACAAAACTTCTTCTTTTTAACTTTTATCACAACATTAATTGTCCACTTGTATGTAGATTACCAAGTGTTTCCAACCACGGATATAGAACTGAACGTATTTCTTATTATTATATACAGAATCCTAGTCTACGTTCACACCTATATGGTGTCCGGTTCTATTAGTTCTCTACGTTCACACCTATATGGTGTCCGGTTCTATTAGTTCTCTACGTTCACACCTATATAGTGTCCGGTTCTATTAGTTCTCTACGTTCACACCTATATGGTGTCCCGTTCTATTAGTTCTCTACGTTCACACCTATATGGTGTCCGGTTCTATTAGTTCTCTACGTTCACACCTATATGGTGTCCGGTTCTATTAGTTCTCTACGTTCACACCTATATGGTGTCCGGTTCTATTAGTTCTCTACGTTCAAACCTATATGGTGTCCGGTTCTATTAGTTCTCTACGTTCACACCTATATGGTGTCCGGTTCTATTAGTTCTCTACGTTCACACCTATATGGTGTCCCGTTCTATTGGTTATTTTATTGGAATGATACAGGTATGATTTCACTCCCAGGTTTACAGCTGGGAATTATATTAACTAGGATCATACCAGCCAGATGTTTCAATCATGATGGACAGATGATAACAGTCTACAATTACTTGGTCAATTACCTAGACGATGTATAACTTATACCCCTTAACACACGATATATATGTATAACAATTACTAGAAGAAACCATTTAACTATAATATTTGGTTACAAGAATTTTAACTTTGGCATCATATCCCTTAATTTTAATAATATACTCTGACTAGAGAGAGAGAGAGATGGGGGGGGGGGGGTACGTTAACGTCCATTCGGCACAAACTAGGGCATTTCGAGACCAACAAATGGTTCAATTTTATTTGAATAATTCGCTTGTGCGTAGGGGTCTTTAGCAGTGGGAAGAAACCAGAGGACCCGGAGAAACACCGCGAGGTTAGACAGGCGACCCTACTCCTTGTCACGTACAACCGTAGTAACTCAGTGACAGACCTTGTGATACAACGCACAAGCTCTAACCATTCGCCCCCCCCCCCACACACACACACACACCACCACCACCAACATTAAAAGGTTTGCCTAGTAAATCTATTAAACCTACGCTACAGTGATATCTATGAGGCAGGCGATTGGTAACACTTTATACCACTTGTAGGACCTACCAATTTCTGGTTTTGAAGGCTATTAGATATAGCTTTTTGGTATTTGTTATCAATTAAAACTTATGGCTTGTATTAAAATAAACCACAATCTGCCAGTCTGATAATTATAATGCGATTCTATCAGGCGTGTTTGGATTTAATCCAATGTTACTGCGACCTCTTCAGGTATTTTTTTAATCATCTACGCCGTTGAGTAATAATTGGTAACCAAGAGAAATATTTTAGTAGAGTCGAGAATGCACACTTGTTATTTTTTTAAAATAGGCGGCCACAGATGAGCGGTAGGAGCACTACTCGCTCGACTTTAATGTCCCGGGTTCGAGTCCCGGCGTGGGCTTTGAAGTCCAGTCCTCACCTCCCAGAGCTAAGGTCTGCTGGGCTGACACAGATTTGGTTGCTCGGTTGTTCAGAGTAGACGAAAACTTGGTTTCCTCCGTGTACCCATGCTCTCTCTCTCTCTTTCTCTCTCTCATCAAAAACAAAATGTTGGCAGGTGATGTATCAACATACCAATATAGCTGACTCAGGTGAAATATTAATACCTTGCTAATATACACCCACAATCACTAATTATACACATCACTCATAGTTGTTGTTAAATATAGTATTTATACACTTCACTCACAGTTGTTGTTGAATATATAGTATGTATATGTATATGTATATGTACAACAGGAGGGTCGGGATGGCCTAGTGGTCTGGAGTGCCAGACCCGCCCTTTCAAAATAGAGAACAACGGCGGCGCGACGAATAAGGCGCTGGCTCACTCACCAGGAAGGTCTTTACCTTGTCAAATCAGCAGGACCGGGGCCCGACAAGAACGTATAACATTAAATTTACCCCATTGCATTAGTTTCGAAATGAAATAGGGTGAAATAGTGATTAATAATAATATGCTGTAGGAATGATGGCTGAATACCAAACATACAATACCAACCGTGTAATACTTCAATGAACGATAAATAAATCCCATGCATGGTTTCTAATTCCTCATCAAAACTGACGTCATGGTGCCAAATCTACAACTATAAATAGAACATGTTTGAAATACGCACAATTCCATGTTGATGTGTGAGTCAGTACAAAGGCTGGTAAAGTTAGAGAGATAAAATAGAATCTGGTTCTGATAGCAGCCCATTATAGAACAGAGTTTAAACAGAAATAGACTGAGTGAGAGATATACGGAAGCCGGTGGAATTGTAGATATATGACTCATTGATAGATACTTTTACAAATCTATGTTTAACACGGGTATCGTGGAAACTTGATAGAAAATATATTTACAAATAGCCGACAATATGTTCATCAACATCAGATGAGAATATCGTGAAATAGTTCATCTGATACTTGCATGGTGTAGTTTGGATGAAGATTGTTTTACACGATTCCTTAAACTACCAATCAGCCTTCCTTTCTGGTCTTTCTTCCTCCACCTTCTAGCTGGGAATATTGACGCGCGTTGACTTTAAAGGAGCTAAATCGCTAATATTTGGGACCTAGAAATTGACACAAATGGATCGCAACGCATATAATAATATAATATGAATATAAACTGATTTACTTTTCAATGGTTTCTGTTTTACTGTAATACACCAGAAGTCTCAATCGAATGGCAATCTCTAGCGCCTGGTTATTCCAGTCTACATCGATAGTATTTATTGCGATTGCTCTCCAGATAAGAATATGACGTCACCGTTTGACATGACTTGTCGAATATGTCTAACATCGTTCTTCGAGTCCCCTGTTACAAATGGCACTGAAACGCATTATGGTACACGATTCGTGTACCAATGGTAAAATGTTTATTTTTATCTTAAATATTGGATATCAGAAACCCATCTTTTCCCGGTAAGATCACAACATCAACGTTGATTTAAATTGAAAAATAATTCGTGTTTTCAATGTCGAAGACTTTGAATGATATTGAGTTAGATACTTAGCTACTTTAAGAAAGATGTTTACCAGACTTTCACTAACCCTAACTCTAACCGTTTTATTATAGAACATATCAACATATCAACACCAGACTTTCACTAACCCTAACTCTAACCGTTTTATTATAGAACATATCAACATATCAACACCAGACTTTCACTGATGTGGTATATTAATATGTTAGGAATTGTTAATAACTGTACGTGGGATTTTGCTGCACTATGTACCGTATACATATTGTAGATGTTTGGTGTAACGGTTTATTGATTAAATCTCTCTCCCTCTCTCTCTCTCTCTCTCTCGCTCTCGCTCTCTTTGACTGTTTACTGTGTCGATGTGTAAAAGTTTAAAACATGTATTCTGGTTGTTTGTATAAAACTCCTCAAATCTTCACTGACATTTAATTATCTACTTCACTCCTTCAAATATCCACACCATGTGTCTCATACAACCACATATGGCTAGCAGACGTTCGAACACGCCTCATCAAACAGAGTTATTTTATCAATTTCAACTTTCGGTGAGATCTGTAGATACTGACTGCCTGCCCATGAGCATGTTTCCCTCCCCTGTCCATGAACCGTCCACTGGACAAAAACTAGGTCATTTCGAGATAAACATTTAGTACAGAAATGAAATGGGGTTTAACGTCCTGCATCAAAGACAAGGGGAAACCACGCTGGAAAATCTGGATGAACTTTCTCGGCCAATGCAGAGATCGAACATCCGACCTCCAGGCTAGCGAGCCAGCGTCTTACCCACTTAGCCAGAATGATTCTCCATTTACTACAGTATTTTATTTCAACAATTCAAAATTGGGGTCTATAGCAGTGGGAGGAAATCGAACCCAGATAAAATGAAATGAGGTTTAACGTTCTAGCATTCTTTTCCGACTGGGCTAATGAAGACGCCATACAGTGTGCTATGAGGGAATTTTGCCCGGGCAGCGGCACTATGGCCTACTCTTATATGCGAAGGAATCTCTTACGTTCACGCCAATGTATACACGGGGCTTCGGTTTTTCGTTTCAATCGAACGACTAGACAGTTGACCTTGTCTGGCCCCTCGTCTTGCATCACCGACAAGGGGAAACCACATCGGAAAATCCCGATGAACTTTCTCGGCCAATGCAGGGATCTAACACGCGACCTCAAGGCTAGCGAGTCAGCGTCTTACCCACTTAGCCACCGTGACTCCAGTATCCAGAGTAAACCCACGAGGTTAGGTTATTAATGCCCAAACTCGAACACCTTCATTAATTGTGAAAAAGATTTTGTTTTATATTTTCAGAATCCATTTAGAAACCATGCCTTTTAAACCACCAGAGAGGGCCATGTGCCCAAAATGTAACAAAGCCGTCTACGCCGCTGAAGAAAGATTAGGAGGCGGTTACAAATGGCACAAGGGATGTTTTAAATGCAGTAAGTTTTACTTATGAAAAGAAATAAATGAATTTAAGTTGTGAAAGTTTAATTTCAGGAAATTAGTTATTGTGCGATGGTTTGATGGTAGAATGTAGGGGCGTTATTTGCGAAACGAATGGGTGCTATCTGGAGTTCAATTTCTACTGGGTGTAAAGACAAGACGAACTGAGCTTTCTGTAGACGATTCTACCAGTCCTAACACCCCCACCTCCACCCCGCCACCCCAAGCAGAAAGGAAATAGACAACGCCATTCTAGTTTCTTAATATATATGGCTGTAGTACAAGGGATATTAGGGTATGTGTGGTAGGGGGGATGTATTAAACATTGATATCAACGTGGTATTATATTAGCCAGGAAATGAAGTCAGACATACGTCATACATTGTGCAATATTTCGATATGAAGAAACCTATTTATTTCCGATAATTGCTTCATGGTTGTTGCCCTTATTAATATTCTAATGACCACGAGGCAACAACCTTTAAAGACTGCTGGAACGATTTCGTTGTTCTGAATTATGTAATGAATTTGTCACGAGAGTTTCCCTAATTCAACCCCATCTCATTGAAGACAAATCACTGGGACTTGAACCTTGTGAAAGGGATGCATCTTTCGTCACAGATTCTTGTGTAATAGCCACACCCACCCCAACCCCCACCCCTACCTCACGCCCTTCTGGATTGTAGAAATTTGTATAATAATTTGCCTGATTATTTCAGATATGTGTAATAAAATGTTAGACAGTACGAATTGTGCTGAACACGCAGCGGCTCTATATTGTAAGAACTGTCATGGTAGAAAATTCGGTCCTAAAGGTTACGGTTTTGGTGGTGGTGCTGGAGCTCTCAGTATGGACACTGGTGAACAGTTCGGCAACAAGGATGCTGAAATGAGGTAGGTCAGAGGTCAATAATAGTCATGTAGTAATAACTATGATTACGACACAGGCAGCGCATCCCGATCTCAACCCAATCCCCCACATCCAAAGAACATGACAAATAAAATAACTTAATGTATGGGTTTTTTATTCGGAATTACACAATCAGACACCATAGGCCAATTGTCACCTCTTTCTGGTCGATGCCACGATTCCTGTTGAGATGCGGTTATTTCTGTTGATTATGTTCTCATTTAGGCAGAGGGAGGGGGGGGAGGTAATGTCCATTCGACACAAACTAGGTCATTTTGGGACATGCGTTAAACCACAAGACCCCGCTCACCATCACAAATTAGGTATGCACGCATCATGAGCCTATATGTAGGTCTTGTATTGTTGAGTGAGATTCCAGTGTCCATACCTGAAAACTACGAGGGGTTCCGATTGAGAACGTGTCGTATATATATTTTCATTTTAATTCCAGTAACCGACCAACGCAAGCTGTACATGGAAGTGGTTCTGCAAAAACTGGACCTGGACCCCATTGTCCACGATGTGGTCGAACTGTTTATGATGCTGAGCGAGCTATCGGATCAGCCACAGTAAGTAGAGATTACCTCCCCTTACTCATTTCGTAACCATTGGCAACCATTGACTTCCTGTCGTATTTACATCAGTCAGGTGGCCAAACTTTCCCATCAACCGGACTAATGATGATGGACATACACCATGTATTGAACAATGGGTGGGGGGTGATTCCCGGTCAACGATGATTCGGTCGCGATTTCGTCGAATTCCAACTGCCAAGAGTTATCATCGTGCACGATGAAACATCTGGGGACATTTTTTGGGCCACCACTTGGATCTAACCCGAGTCCTCCAGGTGGTGGATACTAAGACACTGTGGCCCTACTGTTAACGATCCGTGTATTACTCACTGTGGCTCTACTGTTATCTTTCCATGCATTATTCAATAAGTAATCCGTACATTACTCACTGAGACACCGTGACTCTACTGTTAACTTTCCATGTATCAATTTACTGTTAACGTTTCATGTAAAAGGATTAAATTAAGAACCCATGGTAACAGAGATGGAAGAATTATATACCTTAATTGAACTTTTGATTTCAGGGCGGGGTGGGGTCTAACGCCTGAGATCATCCCTAGTCGCCTGTCTAACCTCGTGGGTTTCCACCTGGTCCTCCTGTTTCATCCCAACGCCCAATCGAATTTGTCCAGAAGTCAGGTTAAAATTAATTTCATATCACATCGTAATCGACCCACAGCATTCGTATTAATGTAAAAATATATTGTGGCTCGTCCAGACTATTCGATGATTTTAATGCAGGTCTAACATAATGTATATATTATAATTTCAGCCATGGCATAAATCTTGTTTCAACTGTAATAAATGCCATAAATCCATTGATTCTACAACCATGAATGAATATGAAGGAGAATTATATTGTAAAAGTGAGTATTTTATAAGTATATTCACAATGACCCTAAAAGGACTAATTTAGTTGGGCAGTACGAAGAGGGTGGGCATACGTCGGGCAGTACGAAGTGGGTGGGTATACGTCGGGCAGTACGAAAAGGATGGGCATACGTCGTGCAGTACGAAAAGGGTGGGCATACGTCGTGCAGTACGAAGAGAAGTATTATTTTGAACACTATATCCATGAAGAGGCTGTGCTTGATAGCCATATCTTAAGATGAAGTATTGTGCTACCGTGTCCCCTTTGTCAGGAGGTCTATAACGTACTACTGCCCATCCGAACGACTCGACCCTTTTTCTTTGACAGGTCCTCCGTTTTTTCATCACCGAGGAGGAACCCGCTCCTCTTTATTTGTTGAAATTACCTGGGATTCTGTTTGTAATTTGACCGCGGTCTTGAATATCATTCCGTAAATTGATTATGCTTGTTTTTTTGTCTATTTTCAGACTGTTATGTAAAAGATTTCGGACCAGTCGGCATCTTATAAACTGTCTAATTTTAAATTTGCAAATAAAAGTAATTTATGTAATAATGTACTTACTTTAACCTGGTCGTACTAAAGTCACTTCACTAAATAAATTCATACGTTACCTATTAATATTATTCATTGTATTTATTGATAACCCGTCGTGTACATTGTTAGAGGATAGTTATAGTAGAGTTATCTCCCTTACACCAGGCGGCATCAAACTTTAACCTATTATCTATACAGACATGGGTTCCACTTTGTAATATACAGGCCATATTGGCTTACTGCTTATATAGGTAAACTTCTTAAATATATATTGTATTGCAATAAACACTTTTGTACTAAAAATACATGTTTTAGTGTTGTGTGTATTGGGATACCGGCTTCGGGTAGGTCACGTTACTGACAGGGATGACAAGCTCGGCGGTCCCTGAAGTTGATGTTTTCGCGTGGTCTGGGGTCCGGGTTTATAGTTTGAGGGCCCTTTGTGGTGATTGCATGGCGCCCAAAATAAAAGAAACTGGTTTAAATTGACATTTTCCGATGGTTTTTGACTGCGGTAGGTTAAGGGACGGGTCTTCAGAGGTGAATTGACCGCAAAAAAGGACCCATCAAAGGCGAATCCAGTCCCCCTGAAAATGTAGCAAATTACATAGCCCTAAGCAGAATGACCCACAGCGTGGCAAATAGATACAGTTAAATGAGATGGGATTTAACGGCTGGGCTAATGAAAACGGGAACATGTTGATACAGCTTGAATGCCGTTAATTATAGCATCGAACGATAACTTATCATAAATATATGATATTTTACAAACTATTTCTAGCTTTCGTTTGATAAATGTCTGTGCTTACACCCATATATTGTTATAAAAACAATGTTTTGTGACTTCTTTATCAATCTTCAAATCTCGATTAAAGACTCGTCTTTTCAAAATTCACTTCAAGAATTGACAAAAAACTTAGTTTCGAGTCAAAACTTTTGTATAGTTGTATGCCTATGAGCACGATTTGTGGATTTGGCGCTATATAAATGGACATATTATTATTATCATTATTATTAGTAAGACAATGTTTCTATGCTTACCTCCATGTATTTGTAATACGGACATTGTAGGCAGTAAATGTGACATGATTTAGAACCAACTAGGAAGAAAAAAAAAGAAAATTAAAAACAGGAAAAACCAAACTGAAAATCTAAATTTTTAGCAAAAAAAAATGATATAGGGACACAATAAGGGCGTTCCTGTTCCCATATACCTGTGGGGGATCCATAAAATATCACGTGTTCTCTTTCAATTCTGAGGGTTTTTTTCCGAAATTTTATTTCAAAAATATATTAGACCTTGACCGGAGGCCTTAGCTCTAAATTTGATTTCCTAGGCGTGAGCGGGCCAAGTGTATAGGTATATACCCGGCACTGAAAGTGACAACATTTGATATTAAAATCAATCGAAAATATTTGTGGTCTGTCTCCATATTTTGTTTCCAGAGTTATGTCCCTTTGTGTTACTTTTCAGGTGATAACAATGATTTTACAGGTAACAGGTGCTTGTAATGGCTGAAAAAGATGGTGCCAAATATAACAGACGAATTGACCGATCTTTGGATCAACTTTCACCACATTTAACACTAGAGAATAAGAAAGCAATATCTAACATGCGACATATGACGGAAAATATACGTCGTCGTTTCGATCGCTTGAACAATGACTTGGATGATCGGTACGTAAGTTTGATTGTTAGGCTGGTCATCAGTCAGTCGATTTGGGTTTTTGTGCTCATGATAACATTAGTCACACGAGGATAGCTTAGAGTGTGTCAGTATAGATAATGTTATTTACGGTACACCGTAGCCTAAATCATGTGTGCCGTGCCAGTTGATAATGATGACATGGTCATGTTTACATTACAGTAGAAAGTATGCCAGTGATTCTAATGTATGACTCATTGATTGAACTGTCACAACACTGTTTTCATACAGTGGCCTGTCCATTAATCTACTGATATTAAAATCAGAAAAATAATAAACTTGTTGAATGAAATGAATGGAGGTAAAATCTTTATTCTTTTGAACCTAACTGAATGAATGAAAATAGGTAAAAACACACATTTTAAGCATGCAAGAGCTAAATCTGCCTATTGCAGGTCTTTCTTTGCAATGTAGGCCTTAAATGTTATATAAACTATTAATTCGACTTTAACAGAACACAATTTCTATGGGAAAACAATCACTGGTTTTATTCTATAAGCACCACATTTCAACAAGTATCCATTTTATCATTATTGTTGCTTGATAAAGATAAGAGGATACTAATTGTCGAAATGTCACTTAAAGATTAGATTAATTAGACATTTATTAACATGACAAGACCATAATCAACGATTTTAAACAGATTTGAAATCGATCTGTGATTCAATGGCTGTTCATGATTAACCGTAAAAATGGATAATCAAGACTTTGTTTATTATGCAATTTTCCGGTTCTCTTTACGTTATTATAGCGATAACTTTCAGCTCTTTATCTAATCTCCCATCATGCCCCTTGACTGTAATACAAGGGAATATCTGATTTTTGTTTAAAATTTTTATCGTAATTTCTAATAAGTTTGGAGCATCAAATTAAGTGATCAGTCCAAACTGAATCATGTTGCTCGTGCGTGCCTGTTCAGCTAGTCCAGTCTATATCGGAAGTACATGTAGCCGAAGGTTTGACATGCACTCTGATGTTTAGCCTCATTAATCATGGCACCTCATTTATCAAGGCACATTTATCAAGGCACCTCATTAATCAAGGCACCGATCATTTATCCAGGCACCTCATTTATCAAGGCACCGATCATTTATTGAGGCACCTCATTTATCGAGGCACCTTTGGAGATTGTACACAAGAGCATATACATGTAGAATACAAACTGGTTTTAAAATTGTTGATTTTGTTGTAAATATTTGAAAAATATGAGTCCATATTTTCACGGAAAGATAACAACATCAATATTGATTGGAAAGGACCAATGATTTGTTGAAGACTCGGGCTAACATTGCCTTACAGCTTTACGGCCATTAACTTCTAGCATACACACAGTTATTTTTGTACATTGTCACATGTGCAAAAGTGTGGAGACGAATATTTTGTCTTGATATTTTTGTACAAATGCCATTTTATGGTGATAAATATTTTGTTCATTGAAAGAAAAAGACATTTAAATGAAATGGGCTCTGGCCGCCTGACCTTCCGTCCGACTTTGGCTTAGTCAGAGATGTAGCCGTGAAATATATATTGGGGGGGGGGGGGGTCAGCAAATGCAATTATATAAAAATGTAGACCCTATCACCCCAATACAATGTTTATCGTGTTAAAGTCAGGGGGTGCCATATTCTTCGCAGCGATGATGCGTGAAATTATACTTCTGGAATATTACTGACAGGCTAACTAGATACAATTTTATTGAACACAGTTACTTTTCACTTCACACATGTTTCCAGGATGATTATCTCTGTGTTTTATTTTAGCAATGTAAACCATATTGGGATATGTACAGGTTTTATACAGATAGAATCTTAACTAACCCTAATAATTGTTGTAAAAAAATAGGAGTTAGGGCCTACTATGTAAATTTCTTTTTTTGCCCCCCCCCCCCAGGTGTGACATCCATGGGCTCAGTAAGTAAGATGCTGGCTTGTTAACCTTGATGTCGCAGGTTTGTTCTCTGTTATGCCCGAGAAAGATCTGACGTGGGGGAGGGCCTGACAAGGACAGTTGTCGAGTCATTTGGATGGAACGAAAAGCTAAGGTCCTGTGTACATTGGCATGCACGTAAAAGATCCCTTGACAGTTGAATTCAATATAAGAGTAAGCCGTAGCACTGCTGTCCAAGTAAAATATCCCTCATAGCACACTGTATGGTGGGAGCCTGTCTTCACTAACCCAGTCGGAGCAGAACAGTAGGACATTAAACACCATTTTATTTTCTTCTCGATTTTTTTTTGTTTGTGGACATTCTACAGGTCACAATTTTTATCCCGATTTTGACGAAACTTGATATAAAAGTCTATCTCCCAAAGATCTTGGTTCCTTTCGATATTGGCATGTATCGGTCCATAACTGCATGGATTATGGCCCCTGTGTTTTTCTTGTGGGCACACTAGAGGTCACAATTTTGATACAATTTTGATGAAACTTGAAATGCATGTTTATAACCCAAATATCTTGTTTCCTGTCGATATTCGTGCATATCGGATCGTAGCTTCCTGAATTATGGCCCCTGATTGTACGAAAAATCACGTTTTTAGCTTGTGGTCCCTCTAGAAATCACAATTTTTATCCAGTTTAACAAAACGTTTCAGTATATCACCGTTACACCCTAATAATGTCATGAAAATCAGACCAAAACTGCCGGACAAAATGGCCGCCCTTGTACGCAAATAGTGTAAAATATGGTATATCAAGGTTGTGGACCTCCTAGTGGTCACAATTTTGATCCGATTTTGATGAAACTTGAAACGCATGTTTATAACCCACAGATCTTGGTTTCTTTTGATATTCGTGCATATTGGATCATAGCTTCCTAAATTATGGCCCTTGATAGTACGAAAAATCGCATTTTAAAAAGACAACGTGTGAATATATCACAGATATACACTAATGATGGTTGAGGTCTAATTTCGTAAAAAAAAATCATACAAAAAATGACAGACATAATGGCCGACCCTTGTACGCAAATAGTATAAAAATATTGTATATCAAGGTTGTAGTCCCTCTAGAGGCCACAGTTTTTATCCGATTTGGATGAAACTTTAAATATATGTTTTTATATGCCCACATTTTCATGTGGACGTATTATGCCGTCGCCCCTGTCCGTCCGTCCGTCCACAATTCTTATCCGATTTTGACGAAACTTGAAATATAGGTTTATCTCCAAAATATCTCGGCTGCTTTCGATATTGGCATGTTTCGGATCGAAACTTCATGGATTATGGCCCCTGTTTGTACGAAAAATCACGTTTTTAGCTTGTGGACACTATAGAGGTCACAATTTTTATCCGATTGTGTTGAAACTTGAAATGTAAGTTGATAACCCAAAGATCTCGGTTCCTTTCGATATTCGCGCATTACGGACAGTAACTTCTTGAATTATGGCCCCTGATTGTACAAAAAATCACGTTTTTAGCTTGTGGACCCTATAGAGGTCATAATTTTTATCCGATTTAAAAAAACGTATTATTATATCACCGTTACACCCTAAGGACGAATAAGTTCGAATTTTATGAAAATCACGTTTTTAGCTTGTGGACCCTATAGAGGTCATAATTTTTATCCGATTTAAAAAAACGTATTATTATATCACCG